ATGCCACTGGTATTTCAAATACCAGCAGAGTCCCCCATGGTGGACAGGTTTCAGCAGAGCTTCCAGACTAAGACAGATCAGGAAGAAAGACCTAGTGATCTACTTCCAAAAAATATTAGCCAGTGAAAACTTTATGAGTAACAGCAGAACACTGTCTGATATAGTGCTGGAAGATGAGCCCCTCGGTTTGGAAGGCACTCAAAATAACAACTGGGACAGAGCAAAGGCATTGGACTGTGTGGATCATAACAAATTGTGGATAACAATGTGAAGAATGGAAATTCCAGAACACTTAATTGTGCTCTTGTGAAACTTGTGCATAGACCAAGAGGCAGTCATTCAAAAAGAACAAGGGGATACTGTGTGGTTTAAAATCAGAAAAGGTGTGCATCAGGCTTGTATCCTTTCACCATACTTAGTCTGTATGCTGAGCAAATAATCCGAGAAGCTGGACTCTTTGGAGAACAATACAGCATCAGGATTGGAGAAAGACTCATTAACAACCTGCCATATGCAGATGACACAACTTTGCTTTCGGAAAGTGAAGAGGACTGGAAGCACTTACTGATGAAGATCAAAGACCACAGCCTTCAGTATGGACTGCACCTCAACATACAGAAAACAAAAGTCCTCACAACTGGACCGGTAAGCAACATTATGATAAACGGAGAAATTATTGAAGTCGTCAATTTCATTTTACTTGGATCCACAATCAATGCCCATGGAAGCAGCAGTCAGGAAATCAAATGACATATTGCATTGGGTGAATCTGCTGCAAGAGACCTCTTCAAAAAACAAAGATGTCACCTGGAGGACTAAGGTGCATCTGACCCAAGCCATGGTGTTTTCAGTCGCCTCATATGCACGTGAAAGCTGGACAGTGAATAAGGAAGACCGAAGAAGACTTGATGCCTTTGAATTATGGTGTTGGTGAAGAATATTGAATATACCATGGACTGCCAGAAGAATGAACAAATCTGTCTTGGAAGAAAGACAGCCAGAATGTTCCTTAGAAGCAAGGATGGCGAGACTTTGTCTCATGTACTCTGAACATGTTATCAGGAGGGACCAGTTCCTGGAAAAGGACATCATGCTTCGTAAAGTAGAGGGTCAGCAAAAAAAGAAGACCCTCAGCGAGATTGATTTACACAGTGGCTGCAACAATGGGCTCAAACATTGTGAGGATGGTGCAGGACCATGCAGCATTGTATTCTGTTGTACATAGGGTCGGATCACTATGAGTCAGAACCGACTTGATGGCACCTAACAAAAACAGCAACCTGTAGAGGTGACCTTTGGAAATTAGAGTCTCTGAAGATGCCGTCAGTTAACATGAGGTCATAATGGAGTAGGATGGGTCCTGATCCAGTCTGAGTGGTGTGTCCTTATAAAAGGGGAGAAGAGACACAGAGGCAATCAGAGGGAAGACAGCCATGTGATGAGCGAGTTATGCTGCAGCTGCAAGCCGAGGAATGTCTGGGGCTACCAGAAGCTGCGAGAGACAAGAAAGGTTCTTCCCTTACCATTTTATTGGAACACAGCTACCTCCATTCATTTACTTCTGCCGCCTCCAGGGTGGGGTGCACCTGCTGCACACCGGGCTGACCAGCACCGGTGTCATGGATGCCCACTTCCTGTTCCTGTGGCTGTGGTGACAGCATGGGCCACACTTTGGGAGCACAGAGGAGGCCTGCAAGGGCAGCATTCTGGGAAGGCCAGGTCTGGTCCCCAGGGCCTCACCAGGCGAAAACCCCTTCTTGCCTTGGCCCTGGCTGCTTGGTTGGCCCTCACACCTCCCATCCAGGGCCTCTCTGCTCCCAGGCTGGTGAGGCTCCCCTCCATCCCTATGTCTGCCATGGCAGCAGGTACCCTGAGGACTAGGGTGAGCCCCTTGGCCAATTCACTGACATTGTTCTTCCCCCGGAGTCCTTTTGCTGAGCGCCTCAGCCTGTCTTTTCTGTGGAGTGAAGCAAGAAAGGCTGTGAGAATAAAAACGACCATACTATGGGGGTGGGGGGCAGGAAACACCCTATGTCTGTGGTTGCTTTTGTGCTACAAAGTAGAGTTGAGTGGTTGTGACAGGGTCCTGCCCACACGTTGATTTGAACCTTTTCTAGCCACTAAAACAGTGAGACAATAAATTTTTGTTCTTGTAAGAGTCCCTCCCCTCCTTTGTGGTACTTTGTTATAGTGGCCCTGGAAAACAAATAGAGCCCTTGAGATAGGCCCTTATTAAATCATCTCCACCTACTGCCATCAACTGGATTCTGACTCATGGTGACCCTGTGTGTTACAGAGTAGAACTGCACCATACAGTTTTCTTTGCTGCAGTCTTTACAGAAGCAGACTGCCAGGCCTTTCTTCTGCAGCACCACTGGGTGGGTTTGAAGCACCAACTTTTAGGTTAGTAGTACAGTGCAAACCATTTGTGCCACCTAGGGACCTATTCATCTCCAAGTCCTACATATTTATATTTTAAATATTTCTAAAATACTTCATTTCTACTGCCATCTGCATGGTTCAAATTATCATCATATCTTGCCTAGAGCAGAGATCAGCAAAATGGGTCAAATCTGGCCTGTGCCTGGTTTGGTAGATACAATTTTATTGGAACACAATGACATCCATTCATTTATGTATTGTCTGTGGCTGCTTTTGTGCTACCAAGTGGAGTTGAGCAGTTGCAACAGAGACTATATGGATCACAAAGCAAAAATTATTTATCTGGCCCTTTACAGAAGTTTGCCAGCCCGCCTCTGGCCTAGACTGCTGCAGTAGTCCCTCTAGTGCATTGAGCAGGACTATCTTGGCAGTTCATTCTGGGTTGCCTGGAGAATGAGCTAGCTGGGGGTTTCCTCCTTCTCCTAAGGGAAGGGGTTGCACCAAGCTCCGCTTCCCATGGCACTGGTGCCTTCCCCACCCCAGCAGTGGAGACTAACATTCCATGGGCAGCTGGCATACACCCAGACAACCAAACCACTGGCACCCCAAGTCCAAACTGTCTGCTGCTCAGCAGCTTCTGTGTCACCATCGACAAGACTGCTTCTTCACCCTTGCCCGACGAAAAAGCAGGACTAACAGGGAATGTGGAGCCCTGGTGGCACAGTGGCTGAGAGCTTGGCTGATAACCAAAATGTCGGCAGTTCGAATCCACCAGCCGCTCCTTGGAAACCCTCTGGGGAGGTTCTACTCTGTCCTGTAGGGTCGCTGTGAGTTGGAATCGACTCTACGTCAATGGGTTTGGTTTGGGTTTAACAGAGAATGATGATGTTCTCCTTACCGAGACCCAGCAGTGCTTTGGCCTCCAGCTCCCCTCTCCTCAGGATGACAGGAGGATGGGTATGTGCCATTGGGCACATCCTGTTCCCACTGTCTGAAATGCTTTGCCCTTTGCCCAATTAACTTATTGAAGTCTCAATCAAATGTTACTTCCTCAGGGAAGCCGTCTCTGAAATCTCAGTCCAGTTCACAAAGCATTATGAAACTTAGTTGAAATTTTACATTTATTTGTATGATTATTTGGTCATTGTCTGTTTTCCCCACTAAACCACAGGATCCATGTCTCTTTGTGGTTGCCAGTAGCCTAGCTTATAGTGCCTGGCATAAAGTAGGTGTTCTAAAAAACTAGTTGAATACATTATCTTAAATATAAGGTAGAAAGAAGCCAGTCTCCAGAGACCACGTATTGTATGATTCTATTTATATGAAATGTACAGAAAAGGCAAGTCTATAGTGACAGAAAGTCAATTAGTGGTTGCCTGGAACTGGGAGTGGGAATCAGAGTTAACTATAAAGTGGCATGAGGGATCTTACTGGAGTGATGAAAATGTTCCAGAACTGGATTATGGTGATGGTTGCACAACTCAGTAAATCTACCAAAAGCAATCATACACTTAAAACAGGTGAATTTTATGGCATGTAAACTGTATCTCAATAAAGTTGTTTCAAAATTAAAAAAAAAAAAAAATTACTCGAAGAAATGAAAAAATACATTGGAAATGCCACCTTTATCTTACATTAAACATGTATACATGTTTCTGGACTTTGCATTCTGTACCACTCATCCTGTGCCATGCTTTCTCAATTATTGTTCATGGATATATACTTTAGTACCTGGAAGTACGTCACCCCTCATTAGTATTCTTTCAAAAAGATTTTCTGGGTTCTTCTTACTCCCTAATTTGAAATAATTAGGCTTGGTATGCGTCTTAGTTATCTAGTGCTGCTATAACAGAAATACCACAAGTGGATGGTTTTAACGAAGAGAAGTTTATTTCCTTATAGTAAAGTAGGCTAAAAGTTCAAATTCAGGGTGTCAGCTCCAGGGGAAGGCTTTCTCTCTCTGTCTGCCTTCTCATCAATGTTCCCCCAGACTGGGAGCTTCTCCGCACAGGGACCCTGGGTCCAAAGGATGCACTCTGCTCCGGCACTGCTTTCTTGGTGGTATGAGGTCCACCTGTCTCTCTGCTCACTTCTCTCTTTTATATCTCAAGAGATTGCCTCAGGACACAATCCAGTCTCGTAGACTGAGTCCTGCCTCAATAACACAACTGCTGCCCATCCTCCCTCATTAACATCATGGAGGCAGGATTTATAACATACAGGAAAATCACACAATACCGGGAATCATGGCCCAGCCAAATTTATACACACGTTTTTTGGGGGACATAATTCAATCCATGACAATATGTTACAAAATTCCAGGTGTCTCTACATGCCTTTGGGTGTTAAACAGAAATAGGTACAAGGAGTTCCCTTTGTAACATATACCAGCTGAAATCAGATTTGGGATTCCCAGGGAACACAAATGCTAGGGGTCATCAAGTGTCAAGTATCCTTATACGTAAGGAAATTTGTAACATTGAGCTAGATATTTTATGAATGATCTGGATTTGCTTGATTTCAGAATTGAGATGCAATACTTTTAGTCCAAATGTACCTACAAACAAAAGGCCCAGTACTTCAATAGTTCTCTGATACTAACAAGCCCTTCTAGAGGAATTTGTCTGCATTTTTTTTTTTTTTCCCCCTTTGGTTCACTTGGAAGTGGAACTGGAGTTAAGGATGTTAGTACAGGTAGATTATTTGGGAGGAAGCAGCAGCAAGGGAGCAGGGAGAATGGACAGGGAATGAAGTAAAGCTAATAAAAGGCAGGTTACATGGTAGGCACCCAGGCTTACAGGGCTCAATCCTGGCTGAGGAACCAAGTAGAATAACCTAAGAACTATCCCTCTGAGGACTGGGGACATTGATCAGTTGACTCCCACCTCCTTTGGTTAAGGGCTGCCCTGGAGGCATTAACTCCCCCAGGCTCCTATGCCAGGGCTGAGGGGGCTTCAAGGGCTCTGGAGAAAGCCCTGAAGCAGAAAAGCAGAGTGTGGGACATGCTTCAAGTGGGACTTGTCAGTCTGCCTATGACTGTACTCCACAGCTGAGCTGAAATCAAGGGGTGTGAGCAGGGCTGCATCTGTCAAGAGGACAAAGAGCATCTTTCAAATGAAACTCCATAGACAACTGGGCATCTGATGACATAACATGCAAGTTCCGGTGCAATTTCATATAAACAGCACTTTATTAGTAAAACATTTCATTTGCATTAACAGAAATAACCATGTCAAGAATCACATGAAATGAACCAATTGCATAAACTACATGAAGAACATTCTGATCAGTGTTCTCTATACTCCGAGAGTAACAAGCAGTTTACTCCAGTAATGCCTAGAACACTAAGTATGAGTCATCTTTTGCAGAACTCGTATCTCAGTCAATTAAAATTTAAAAAAATCAGCCTCCCTTTAATAAAAACACCAATATAGATTAGTTGTGTAGTACTTTTCCATGTTACTATTAGTGATTTTTCTAGAACACGAGGAAATAAAGTCTAGTGTGAAAATCCTGAAGCTAAAAGTGGCAAAGCCCATTCCCTGTCTGTGCCTAACTCCCAGTCACCCTGAGAGAAGTGATTCAACTTCTCTATGTCTTAGTTTCTCCCTCTCTAAGCTGAGTATCGTAACACTGGATGCTTGTATTCTGTGATCGTGACAATGCTGACACTCATAAAGCCTTTTGGGGCCTTTCCACAATAATGGCTGCAAGAGAAGGAGCATGAAAAATAGTTTGTTATTTTCAACCTAAAGCTAAATAGGTATATCCTTAACCAATTTATAATTCTGACTGCAGTTTATGGGTTTGCCACACAGACTTTCTGAAGGAAAATATCAAATGTGATTTTAAGCCAAATAACTATTATGAAACAAATATGGAAATAATCAATTACGTTTTTGGTCAGAGGTAAAAAATCCTCAGGTGCTTATCACTATCAACTCATGGGTCCCTCTATCACCCTACCCCACAACTCACCCCACGCAACCCTTTCCCAGCTTGATTCTTACCCAGTATAAAAGGCATCAGAAAACAGTCATTTTCCTGGAGGAATTATGAACTGCAAATGAGCACAAACTGTACTATGTAACTTTTTAAAAGAGGAAATTAGATGCATTTGAATGATGTATTGAATCAGGTTATCCTTTTACCCTGGATTCCGAACTCTATTTACTTTTACTTTGGGGGTGAAATGGAGAAATAAAACGTAAAATAGTATATATGTATTTTGAGCACACAGCTTGGTAACTGAAGCATACAGAATAAGGTTAGACCAAGTAGTATTAACCAGTGATGCAGAGACATAACCACAACAGTGGTCGTAAAATTCTGGAGCTACCAGCACCCAACAACAAAATTACAAGAGTTTATTAAATACTTGCTAGACACATGAAAAACAAAACAATTTGTCAGGGACCACACGATTTTATAAAGCATAATGGCCCACCATGTCAGTCTGTTCTTTATCTTTAACCTGCTGGCTGGAATGTTCTCATCACTTGCCAGCACTGGGTCCTCTCCCTCTTCTCTACAATAGGCAACAAGCCTGTGAGGATGCTGAGGATTTCCCCGTGATGTGGGCCAGGTCAGGACAGCTCACACAGTTCCTTCACCAACCCAAGCTCAGATGATGGTTAGGTTCGTATGAGGGGTGCTCTCTCATCTGCCGTTCCCTGAAACACAGAAGAGACAGGACAAGAAGTTAGGTGTTCATTTCAGAAATGTCTCCCTCAATGTGAAAACTTCAGATGGTGGTGGAAGGGGGAGGTAGAAGGAAGACAGACTGATAGAGACTTTTCCACTCACCTCTCTCTTTCTTGGCCAGTCTCTAATTGTTCTTTCTTTAAGATGCAGACCTAACCTTCTCAAGAGGCCTTCCCTGGCCACCTCCGACCCCAATACTGGAGCCTACCCTCTGTGTCTTCCCGAGCTACAACAATTATCACACTCATGGAATTTGCCTCCTTGCTGGCTTGAAACCTATTAGAGCACAGTGTGTGGGAGATGGTAGGTGCCCAGTAATTGCCTGCTTATTGAATACATGAATAGAGTTAACTGCAATAGCAGTAAAACATTTACATAGGGTTTCATTTCTGCTTATGAAAATCAGTGACTGTACAAAGTCAAACTGGAAGTAAGATCCTCAGATAGAAATGGCAAAATAGTTTGTCTCCCAGCTAAGTCCAGCTAAAGTGACTGCTATGGAGTAAGAAACATGATGGAAGAATGTGGAAGGTAGGAAAATCTGAGCTAATATTACTCAGATGGTTTCACTCTATTTCATTTTCTACTTCACATTCACCTCACAGTTGAGGTGGCTGGGGAAAAAGAAGTCTTTGCTGGCACAAAGGGAAGCTGCTGTGAATTTAAGAGAGGCTTCTAGAGAAAAGACTCACTGAAGGTCTTTGGTTGGCCTGCTGGTCACATAGGAAGGCCAATCTAACTGCTTCTACCATCCATTTGGGGTTGTTCCCATTCCTCCAGGAAAATAATGACTCCCATGCCCCAATTATTTACTATGCAATAATGACTCAATAGTAGGTACCTTCTGATACATCAAGGATTCTTTCTAGGCAGGTCTCCAGTTACCTTGCTGTGTAATCTTGGAGCTATTTTATCATATTTAATAATAACTAATGTTTATTGAGCACCCACTATATGCTAACACTGGGCCAAGTGCTTTATGTGTAGTACATCATCTAGTCTTCACAAAAAACTCGTAAGATAGGCTCTATTATTAACACCCCCCCCCCACCATTTTATAGATAAAGAAAGTGAGGCACAGTTTCTAAGGTCACACAACTATTAAGTGTCAGACCTGCGATTTGAATCCAGGTAGTCTGACACCAAAGCCCAATTATTAAGTGTCACACCTGGGATTTGAATCCAGGTAATCTGACACCAAAGCCCGGGTGCTTAGTTGGTTTATATTCTTCCTCTTCTTTCAGGTTATTGTTTTCACAGACATAACAATTACTCTCAGATAAACATATGCAGAGATTCCATTCCCATCAAGAGAGCCCCAAATACTAGATAGGACCATTCTATCACCCCACCTTATTTGACACACTCTCTTTGCTTCCCACTTGGTGCAGTAACAGTATAACCAGGAAATCATTGTGCCCAGCATAAAAGCCTAGAATCTTTTCTAAAGAGCCAACTGACAGCCCTTCAATGAGGAATTCTTCCAGTAAACTATTCAGTAAGGGAGAAATTCTTTCAGTCACTACTGACCTCATCCATGGATCCCTGTACTCTGCACGCAAGCCCGGTAAAGATCAAACCAAAGAGCACACCCAGCGCCATGATGATGTAGGGTATGTTGGTAATGATCAAAGTAGTGTTAATCACAGACTTCAGTCGATTTGCAGTCTCTTTATCAATAAGAACACTCTAGAGAGACAAGAAAATATTAAGCCCTTGATTATTAAATATCCAGGTATAATGTTTTTTTCTTCTAAATCATTAAACACAATTTGGAGATGTCCTCCTGTTAGCAAACCAGGTATACTGAAAATCCATTTATGAATTAGAGTAATCAAATAGAGTATTTATTCATTAACATCTACTCTTTTCTCCTGAAGACTTTTTTTTACTCTCAAAATATGTTGGGAAGATGAAGGGAAAAGTATTCAGAAAAAATTAAAATAATATCCTCTTTTGTTTCCTGTCAGATAACTTCAACTCTTCTTTCAAACCCAGCATGGTACAACTTCCTGTCAGAAGTTTTCTTGGGCTACCTCACATCTAGTTAAAGACCCCTTCTCTGCGCTTCCATCTCGCGCTCTAAAATCCTCCATCATTGTCCTCGCACTCCGTATTGTAATGGTCTGTTTACCTGTTGGTTCCTCCCTCCCCTAACCGTGAGATCTCTGAAGGCAAGGTTGATGACTTTTATCTCAGGAACCTCAACACTGGGTATAGTACCCAGGACACAGTAGGTGCTCAATTTATGTTGAGTGAATGAATCAATGAATGAAATACCCCACTAATGGTAAATACAAAATATAATTTCCCTACTGGTTAGATCTAAAGTAATCAGGACCAGAGATCTTGAAAGAAAGTGTTCAGGGAAGTCGTAAGGCTAACCAGAATTCCAAAAGGTGTTGGTAACCAAAGAAATATACTAGAACACAGGAATTATCACTGTAAACTGTCACAGGTGAGATATCTGTACAGCTTAATCTCATAACAATTTTGAGCAGCACATGAGACATTTAGCTTACTTTAGGCTTATTTTGAAGAGTCCCTGGGTGGTGCAAATGGTTAAGCTCTGGACTGCTAGCCAAAGGGTTGGTGGTTCAAATCCACCCACAGGCGCCTCGGAAGACATGCCTGGTGATCTGCTTACAAAAGGTCCCATGAGTCAGAATGTACTCAAACTGGTACTTATTCTAACTGGCCAAAGCATCTGTGCCAGAGTTTCCTCCTCTACAAAATGGGGCATGGGGAGCAGGCAGTCTCCAAGTCACTTCTAGGCCTAATATTTTATGCTTCTAGAGAAAGACAAGTTCTTTCTAGAAGGCAGCCAAAGCACAAAGTTTCACTCCATCATCTTCTGGACTCAATCTAGTCTTTGTTAAAACAGCAAAGCAAAACTTAGGGATAGAGGGGACTTCAAATATGCCATCACAATGAACATACACTGGCAGAACAGGGTCCTTCTGCCTTTTCAACAAGCCCTACTTTCATGCCCCTCCCCATAGATAATAACAATGATGACCCAGGTGCAATTGTAAATAGGTCCTATGAATACGCAAATACTGCCTGAATTTTTCCTATGAAACAAAGGTTTGTCTTGGAATTATTAATTACAAAACCTTCAAAAGTTTATAAATGTAGCTATCAATATAATGGTAAATGGAAAAAAGGATATAAAACTGTATCTGCAGTATGATATCAATTATGTAATATCACAACAAGAAAAAGACTAGGAAACAACATATGAAGATGTCAACTGCATTTATTTCTAAGGGATAGGCTTATCAGTAATTTTTTTTTTTAATTCCTCAAGAGTTCTATAAAGAGCATGTTAGTTTTATGGGAAGAAAACATCAATTTTTAAAAATTTTTATTTATTTTGTTGTTGAGAATATACACAGCAAAACATACACCAATTCAACTATTTCTACATGTAAAATTCAGTAAACTTACATTCTTCAAATTGTGTTACCATTCTTGCCCTCTTGCTTGAGTTGTTCCTCCTCCATTACCATAAATTCAAGTCACTGTTGTTATTTTGATCCCACATAGATAGTTTAAAAAGAGCTTAATGCTCAAGGCAGACTTTTTTTTTTTACTAAACCGTTGTTTGGTTTTACATAAAACATTTTTTAAAAAGTTGTTACTGGAAAAAATTTTACAACACATTGTTGAGTAAAAGAAAACAAATTAAAAACAATACATCAGTATGACTCAGAGTTTTGCAAAGAGTGCTTTTAATTTTTCCTTTCTGGATAATCTCTTACTAAATTTTCTACAAAGAATAATGTTTTTAGGGAAAAGATAAAAATAATATCACTTAAAAAAATGCTGCAATTAATAACAGAAGTCCACCAATGGGGAATTTATCTAGGGGGAAAACCTGCATTTTTTCCTCAAAACTGGGTGGAAGACGGGGAAATTGAGCAGATACAGCTACAGTAATATGTTATGTGATTTAGAAAAGAATTTATCACAGGTGTCTTAAATAGTGGGGGATTTCTGAGCTTCGAGAATATGCTTTTATTTACAAAAATTTATACCTAATATTTAGGGAGAAAATTTCTATGGGTAGATTGTGAAAGAAGTATTTCTTCAAGGAAACACTTTTTGTTTGAACTAAGACAATTTGTTTTCTATAATTCATTATGTTTGCCTACCAGAAGTAGAAAAACCTCTTTCTATGATGACAAGTAAGGCAATCATATGCCACTGAAATTAACAGATATGTATCATTTTATGTAATCTTTTATTTAACCACCTTCCACAAAATTTTTACGCAGTGTTGCCAATCATTTTAATTTTCGTCTCTTTTCCTCCTCCTCAACTAACGAACAGTAAATTAATTTCATCTTACAAACTGACAAGGTTTCAAAGAAGGAAGAGATGCAAAGAAAAGCTTTATTCTGAACATCTATCTGAGTGTTGGCTACTTATTCGGTGTCAACAATGTATGATAATGCTTCATTTTACCTTTGCCTTTTGTTTCTTACATAAGCAGCTCCCCAAGAGGGAGTTTCACCCAAATTACAATCTTGAGAAGGGAAATTTTTCTGTCCTTTCTCCAAATTACACCACAGACATAGGCAGGTTCATGTAAATATTTTAACAAAAATTTTCTGAGAGCAAATAAGTTTTTTAAAACCACCTTTTCCCTTTTCTCAACTCTTAAACTACATGCATCTATAATAGTAGACATCATAATGGAAGTTTTCCAAGCCTGGACAGCTAAAACATACCTGTGCCCCATTCCCAGGACTTACCTCGTTAAGAAACATCACAGGGAAAACCAGCGATCTAATATTTCCAGTTTCACTATAAAGATAAAGGACGAGATTATTTTACAGACACCATCACACCACATTAGTGGCACACTCTGGAGGAACATGTTTGTATAAACATCCCAGCACTTATTTCATTAAGTTACCCAAATTTTACTGCTGGCTTCTTAGTTATCTTTACAAACACATATAAAATCAGAAGTTAAATTCCAATATTCTGTCAGTCTAGCAATTCCAAGTACTGCACATTTATGTAAAGTGTAATTATCAAAACATAAGATGCTGAAAGCAAATTCATCAAAATGATTACCATTCCCCTAACAGTCACCACTAGGAAGCTACACGCTGCAGACAACACTGCCATCCCTCAGAGTGGTTTATAACTAGGCCACCTAAGTACTGTCTTCAGAATCAAGCACTTACCATGCGCTGGCTTTACGCATTTAATCCCCACAACAGTCCCCTGCAGAAGGTATAGGTATTTTTATTCCAGGTTTACAGATAAGGAAGTTATGGCTCAGAGAAGCTATGCAATTTTCCCAGGGTTACCAAGAGTAAGCCGTGGAGCCAGGATTGATTGAAACTCCCTTTTGATTCCAAGGCCCAGTTCTTAACTGTTAGATTATACTTTCTCATAAATACATACATGGGTGACAAAATTCATTCTTGCAAACCACGTTTGCTTCTTAGAAAGATCCACAACATGTGGAGTTAAATCTGGCAAATTTGATAAGAGAACCAACCAAGTTTTATTTTCATATACATGTACATACACATATATATGTATATACAGATATGGAGCCCTGGTGGTGTAGTGGTTAAGAGCTTAGCTGCTAACCAAAAAGTTGGCAGTTCGAATCCACCAGCTGCTCCTTGGAAACTCTATGGGGTAGGTCTGCTCTGTCCTATAGGGTCCCTATGAGTCAGTATCAACTCAATGGCAATGGGTTTTTATACAGATATACATACATATATACATACACATATATATAAATATACATGTATATACACACATACACACATACACAATATATAGACACACAAGGAACCCTGGTGGCACAGTGGTTAAGTGCTGCTAACTGAAAATTCAGTGGTTTGAACCCACCAGCCACTCTGCAGGAGGAAGATGTGACAGTCCGCTTCCAGGATTTACAGCCTTGGAAACTTTATGGGGCAGTTCTACCCTGTCCTATGGGGTTGCTGTAGGGTTATTGTGTCCTGTTTTTTCATTCAACATATATCGTAAGCATTTTCTTATACTCAAAAAATTCCCATTGAAAAGTTTGAGCAGATTGTACTTTAAGAATCCTAATTAAGTAGTGGCTTTTAGATGAAGTCAGGGGAGGAAAGAAGGGATTCAGCAAGAATAATTAGGAGACTATTTTAGCTATCCAAGTGAGAGCTTGTGGGTATTCCAGGTGGGAGCAGCTGGAGTAGAAAGGAAGGGCATCCTGGTGAAGGAAATGTTTACAGAAGTGTGTAAGAGCAGACCCCGCAGCCACATAGCTTTACTAGCTGTGTGAGCGCCAGCAAGTTACTTAAACTCTGTGCCTCAGTTTCTTGTCTGCAACATGGGGATAATATATAGGGTTGCTCTGAGTAAGAAATGAGTTAATGTATGTTCTGGAGTGTACAATTAAGTTTACCCAAAGAATTTAGTCTTTTCCTTGGTTCCTGAGAGAAAATCAAAACCCGTTGCTGAGTTGATTCCGACTTATGGCAACCCCACGTGTTACAGAGTAGAGCTGCTCCATAGGGTTCTCTTGGCTATAATTTTTATGGAAGCAGATGATGCCAAGTCTTTCTTCCATGGTACCACTGGGTAGGTTTGAACTGCTAACCTTTAGGTTAGCAGTGGAGTGCAAACCTTTCATGCCATCCAGGGACCTTGGTTCCTGAGAGGTAACCTCTAAAACTTTGGAATTTCCCTAGTGATTTAAGTGTCTTGAAAGGCTGCACAATACACCTAACTTAACAGGTTACACTAATGAGGTGACTCAGGTGGGGGCTGGCCATGCCAGAAAGACCCACCATATGGTATCAACTGACCTCAGAGAAGGGCGTCATGATTCAATGAATCATGACTATAATGGGACCGCAGTAAAGGCTGTGGACATGGAAGTTCCATGGGTTTCCTGGTTAGTGAAAGACATCAATGCATGTGGGAGAGTAGTGGGACATGGAAGCTCTGCACAGGGAAACCTCCCAGACCTTGTCCTCTGTGTCTCTTCATTTGTATCCTTTTTGCTATAATAAAACTGTAATTGTTAGTATAGCACTTTCTATGAATTCTGTGAGTCGTTCTAGTGAATTATCAAACTCAAGGGAGTAGTGGGAGCTAGCAGGCCATAAGAGAGGACGGCCTGGGTCTTGTGGCTAGCATCTGAAGGATTGGGCAGATTTGGCAATGTGGAGTAGGACTGTGCCCTTTAATTTGTGCGGTCTGACTTAGCTCCGGGTGGTGAGCATCAGAGAAAGAAGGGCTGCATTTCAGCTGGTGTCAGAACAGAAGTGGAACTGAGGGGAACAGAACTGAAGTGAATTGATCCTTACAGTTTGGTGCCAGAGAAGTGAGAAATGGGATTTGTTTTCCGAGCATGTGTAAAGTGCTTAGAACAGTGCCTGATCCATAGAAAAAACTCTGTGTTAGGTTAAATACAATAAGTAAATTTCAAGACCAAGGCACCCTATGAAAATGAAGATCATGCCCTGAAGGGCAGAGGCGACCAGAGTTAGAAGAGGTGGGCTATACTCCTCCCGACACTGACCCCACCAGAAAGTCAATGTAGCAAAACTACCCTCTGCCTCTGTTAGAAATAAGCAAAACTTACGCAAATTCATCTAATTTCCTGACATAAATGTTGATTTGGAACCTCTTGGCTGCTCTTAGGATAATTCCAGTCAACTGCAAATCAGAGAAGTGAAAAGAAAACATTAGGACTTAGTAAAAACCACGAACAAAATTTTACAATAGAGCATCAGTACAGTGTGCTTCTGATAAATAGGGTGACTATTACCATGTCTGATATGTAGAATGGGACAAGGAAGAACTGATCCCCAGAACAGAATGAGAACTGTTGATTGCTCTGGGTGCCTGGTAAACCAATGCTTCTAAAACTTTCACGTGAGTCCTTGGGGACCTTGTTAAAATGCAGATTCAGACTCAGCAGGTCCAGGCCTGAGGTTCACCATGTCTGACAAGATCCCAGGATGCTACGGTCAGCGAACCACACTTTGAATAGCAAAACCCTAGAGGACTCCAGCAGGAGGGAGATCCAGCAGATACCCTGTCAGATCTGGATATCCAGGTAGATGTGCAGAGAGCTTTAAGGAGGATGGTGGCCACTGCCTGAGAAGGGAGCCCAAGAATGCTCAGGGCCCACCTAAAGGAGCTGCAGCTGTCTTCCTCACGACACCCCCATCCTTGCACCAAGGTTATGGGACCACGTTCATCCCTTGGTTACAAGCACCTGCTAACAGTTTAGCTCATGAAACTGACCAAGTGGTGGCTAAGAGGGTAGGGAGAAAACCACACCTAATCTTATTCACAAAAGGATAAGATCATTGGTTTCTCAGATATAAATGCAATGACTGTAGCTATAAGTGAAGTGTCCATAAAATGCTGTGCTACAAGAATATTCGTGCTTTTCTTTATTGTTCCACAGGCTTTAAAATCCCAAGAATGAAGGAATCTGGCCTTCAATTAGGTTCCTACAGTGAGAAGCTCTCACATGATGAAATGATATTCAACTCTTTTTAGAATTGGTTTAATTTTTCTACTTTATTATTAAAGGATTAAAATATATTTCTATCTCATGCTTTTTAAATTAATTATCTCACATAATAAACTCTCAGAAGTACCTATAGAATACAGTTTTGCCAAAAGTGACTGAAGCTAACACATACATTTAAATTTCAACCAAAATACTTCTGGCAGTGAGTAAGCAGAAGGGACATCTTCAATCTTGCTGATCTGTGCCCCCATGAGAGAAATGAATACATGCTCAGGTTCAAGGCTGGTGAGAGAACACTGCCCAGGTTACATGGGTCCAATCTCAGTTGTCTCCAATGGCTGAACTCCCACTGTTGTTTTTTTGTTAAAGCAGGTTCACTGGTATTTTTGTATATTAGATCCACAGAACTGAGCCTTCTAATTACAGGGCTATGATACTATTCATTACATTTCACTGAGCAGACTTTTCCCAAAAAAGAAGGACAATATATTTCTTAGGAGCGCTTAGAACTAACCCACTGTACACTGTATAGAAGGAATAACACGTATGCTCTGTCACCAGAAAGCAGTGCATACTCACAGGATTAATGTCCACAAATGTCTCATGATATTCCTCATTTGGATGCATGCCTGCTATGGCAGAAAGAAACTTCTCGTCTGCTTGGTAGAAGTGTGGGAAAGACATAATAATGGGTGCGCCTACATTTTAAGGAAAACAATGAGAAAATAAGTATAAAATTCCTGATCACAAACTTGGTCCCTAAGGAAAAAAAAATAGCTATACATAATTAAATCTTGAATATACCATGGACTGCCAGAAGAATGAACAAATATGTCTTGGACGAAGTACAGCCAGAATGCTCCTTAGAAGCAAGGATGCTGAGACTTTGTCTCACATACTCTGGACATGTTATCAGAAGGAACCAGTCCCTGGAGAGGGACATCATGCTCGGGAAAGCAGATGGTCAGCGAAAAAGAGGAAGACCCTCAACAAGATGGACTGACACAACAGCTGCAACAATGAGCTCAAGCATAGTGACGATTCTGAGGATGGCGCAGGACCGAGCAGTGTTTCATTCTGTTGTACCTAGGGTCGCTAAGAGAGTGAACCTACCTGACAGCACCTAACAACAACACACATAATTAAACATGGGGATGGGGGATAAAATTCCATTCTATACGACCTAGCTCAGGACTTATATTTCATTTTCTGAAATCTCATTCACTCCAAATCATTTTACTCTTCAATATATATTGAAGGCCTGACTAAATTCTTTATTCTTCAGCATTTACTGAACCTATGAAGTGTCAAGAGCTGTATATACACTATTTTAATTAACATTCCCAGCAGCCCTATAAGGTTAGAGTTATTCATTTTACAGTTGAGAAAACTGAGGCTTAGAGAAGTTACAGAATTTACCCAGGGACATCCAGCTACCGTGATGGAGGCAGAACTGTAATTGAAAGAGCGTTGTCTCACCTCAAAGCAATTGTTTTAACTACAGTCCCTTAGCAGTTAATGGATGTCTTTTTTGTTTGTTTTTCTGTTTTAATTTTTTTATTGTTTTACCAAAGATAGATCTTATTCTCCTGAATATGTTGATGCAGAAAATTTTTAAGACTTTGCCTAGTCATGCTATACACCCAGCCTCTGATGAGATTAAGGTCTGCCCACATGAAGACTTTGGGTTTTTGTTTTTTTTCTTTTTTCTATTCATTTTAAGAGCAAAATAGGGAAACAAGTTATTAAAGGAAACCTATCCAAGATCCCCAGCACTCATTTGTCTGTCACACCGTGGTGGTTTGTATGTTGGTGTGCTGCTGGCAGCTATGCCATTGGTATTTCAAATAACAGCAGGACCACCCATCGTTGGACAGGTTTCAGTGAAGCATCCATACTAAGACAGACTAGGAAGAAAGACCTGGTAATCTACTTCCAAAAAATTATCCAATGAAAACCTAATGGAGCACAACAGAATACTATCCAACTCGCTTGCTTTCAACATGTCATCAAGAAGGATCACTAGTGGAGGACATCATGTTTGGTGAAACAGAGGGCCAACGAGGATGAGAGAGACCCTCGGTGAGATGTATTGGCACAACAGCCACAATGATGGACTTGAACATACTGGAGATTGTGAGGATGATGTAGGATCGGGCAATGTTTCATTCTATTGTACATAAGGTCACCTAAGTCAGTGTCAACTCGATAGCAGCTATCTATTGAAGAACAGAGAAGAACCCAATAATTGCTGCCAGGGAAGTACGTTTTTGGAGAAATGAGCTAACTGGCACGTAATTATAAAATTTGCTTACGTATCTACCAGCCCATGGGTCACGATACATATCATCTTTTGCTCTTTTCTGCTAAACATTTCCACAAAACCACAATTTCCTTCTTTGTGACCCATAGAGAACTTTAAAATGTATTTTTTAAAAGCAATTGAGGGCTGACCTGAGTGTCTTCCATACATTATCCCTAACCCTCACACAACCTTGTAAGGAAGTTACAGTTACCTCCATTTTATGGATGAGAACACTGATGTTCGGAATCCTTAATCAATTTAGCCAGCTTATTAACAAACAGAATAGAATTCAAACCCAGACCTGCCCAACTCCAGAACACCAAGTCATCCCAATATCCAAAATGTTTCCGTAAGAATTCAGAAAACTCAAGAATAATCCTGGAGAGTTTACCATTTCAGTCCAAATTTGGGAACACATATATAAGAGGAAAGAAGTGTAGCAAAAGTTCAAGTCTTCCAAAGTAGAATCTATTAATTCTGACATCAACTTCTTGAGGAAGCAGAATGGTGACAAAACAGCAAGAAAAAGAAATCTACATTGGTGCCTTGAACCTGCCCTGAGTGGGCAGGAGTACCTTTCAGGACCACTCACCCCATAAGGCTACAGGAGAGGTCGGAACCCAGAACGTGTTCTCATTCACCTTTGGTCTTTATCTTCATGTAAGGGGTACTGTATTCCTGACACAGTGGTTCCGAAATACCTGGACTCCATCTTCACTGGAATCACCTTTCGGTTAGCAGTCCAGTGCTTAACCATTTGCATCACTCAGGGACTCCCCTATATGTATTTACTATGTAGAAGTGTATAAAAGGAGCACTGGAAGCATAATAGTCAAGCACTCAGCTACTAACTGAAAGGTTGCCGGTTCGAACCCACCCAGTGGCTCCACAGCAGAATAGACCTGGTGGTCTGCTTCCATAAAGATTACAGCCTAGAAAACCCTATGGGCCAGTTCTACTCTGTCACATAGGGTTGCTATGAGTCAAAAATTGACTCAATGGCACCCAACAAAAAATGTGTAAAGCACTTAAAAGTGCTTGGTAAACATTAGCTATTAGTACTATTAAAACTTCTAAACTATTGCCCAGAAAGAAATACAACATGGCATTCCATAAATAAAAAGCATTCAAAAAATCCAATCAGCAATTTTTGACGATTCTATAGCCATTCTACAAAACATTATTCTTAAAAGGTCAGAATCTTTCTCTCTAGTTGGGTTGATGACATACTCTTTGCTTTCTAATCCTTCTGTATTCTAGATACCCATAATCCCATCCCTTCTTTTGAGTTCTTACCGTTCTTGCAGATGCTGACATTTAAGACTCCTGAGCCCAGGCAGTTTCCTTCAGGTATACAGAAGCCAGCATTTTCTGAGGTATTGGCTAGTATTTCTGCAGGTACCTTATATCGGAAGGCAGGCAGTCCCTGTATGCTCTCAAAGCCACTGAAAGTTAAATACACTGACCTGTTAGGAAATAAGAATAAAAAGTGAACGTGGGCTCCAGTTAGCGTAATCTGCCCCAAAACAGCGACTTAGCAACAGTTCTCAGGGAAGACATACTAACAGCTTACAGGATATATGGAAAATGAAGATGCAAAAGACTGCTTGAAAGAAGCCCAACCAACTCAGTGTAATAAATATGTGGTATTGTTTGCTATTTTTAAATGTTATATAAAGAGCATACCATTTTTTACATTAAAAATGTATTTCTGAAATTTATTAATGTACCTAGTTCTGGTTCTTTTATTTAAAATCCTATATGATTTTCCATCGCACGAATATGTTGTTTTGTTGTTAGTTGCCATCAAGCTGGCTCCGACTCATGGCGACTTTATGTACCACAGAACAAAACATTGCCTGGTCTTGTGCCAACCTCACAATTGTTGGTATTGTATAAGCTCACTGCTGCCCAAGAGTATACCACGGTTTATTTATCCATTCTTCTTTCTATAGGCATTTAGATGGTTTTCAATTTTTCATTACTATAAACAATGTTGCAATGAACATTTCTGTATATGTCTCCTTGCTGTATATATAAGAGTTCTTCGGGCCAGGGGACCTACCTAGGAGACAAGTGCAGAATCATGGCGTTTGTACCTCTTTGGCTTTACTAAGTACTGCCAAATTGTTTTCCAAAGTGGTTGGAACAAACTCCCACCAGATAAGGATGCATTTCCTCTGTGTCAGTCTTTTTAAAAGTCTCCTCCTGCCCCCTTGTTTTACTCAACTGCATTTTCTCATCGACTTTTGTTTCTTCCTGCGGTCCTTCCAAAAGTATTCATTGAATAGGGAGGCCAGTTAGAAGGTGGGTGTGATATTCTATATGAGAGATGGAAAGGATCTAAACCATGGCACAGACAGCGAGGATGGAGAAATGGGCATGAATTCAAGAGATATTTCTGAGGAGGAATCAATATACTTAGTGACTGATTAAATGTCAGAGAGGAGGGAGAATTTATAGCGTTACCAATGTTTCTGGCTTGGGTGACTGGGTAGTTGATGCAATTAATTACAATGAGATATGAAACACTGGAAGAACAGCAATTTGGAGAAATGAGAGAAGAATGAATCAACAATGTCAAATGCCACCAGGTCACTTCTGACTTTGAAGAGACGTTTCATAGAAAGTTGAAGATAATCCAGACCTCAAAGAGTCAGCCTTGCACAAGCGGGGGGAAGAGGAGATGGAGGCCGAGCGAATCAGCACTCATTCAATCAGTTTGAGGTGAAGGGCGGGAGAAGGAGAAGTGGCATGATGGGGAGGTGGAAATCAGGGCTATGAGAACGATGGCTTCCTCATAGAGGGGGAACTTAATCATGTTCATCTGTAGAGAAGAAGTAGGCAGGAGAGAGGAGGGATTACAGGGCAGACCAAATGGTCAACATTTACCCAAAAGCAAAGATGAGAAGGTAAGGAGGGAAAGGGAAGCTAGATCAATGGAAACAGAACAAAAAGAATAGAAATAATGAGAATGCTGACACATTGTGAAAATTATAATCAAGGTCATGGGAACAATATGTATAAAAATTGTTAAATGGGAACCTAATTTGCTATGTAAAGTTTCACCTACAACACAATGAAATATTTTTAAAAAAGAGAGAGAGAGATTACAGGGCAAGTGAGAGTACATTAGATTAATGCGAAGGTTCTAACTAAGCACATTACCTATAAACTCTGAAATATGGACAATACAATAATATAATTTATTTTTCTTCTATACAGAAATTGCCTGTTCACTGGAAAAGGGCCATGTCAAATTCTACGCTTGACAGAGGGTACCATAAATAACAGTCAACACTAAACTACTGCTTACTCTGTGATAGGCCCTGTGTTGAGTTTCACTTAGAGTAACTTATTTAACAACAACCCCTAAAGTAGGTAACTATTTCTATCCCTATTTTACAGATGAAGAAAGTGAAGCACAGAGTGGTTAAATAACTTTCCCAAGGTCACACAGCTCTAAGTGGTGGGATTCAAACCAATGAAGTCAGGCTCTGGAGTTTGTGCTATGAACTACTATGCTACACTACACTATACTGCCTTTCAATATACCATCAGCATTTATCTTATTAAACATGAGAATTAATGCTCAAGAGTAGCTACATATCTTCCTCACACTTTTGGTGGCCTTGCAGTCAAACATAGCAGCCCTGATTGCGCAGTGGTTAAGCATTTATCTGCTAACCGAAAAGTTGAGGGTTTGAACCCAGCAGACACTCCGAGGGAGAAAGATGTGACAGTTGATTTCTGGAAAGATTTACAGCCTTGGGACTTGATGGCAACAGGTTTTTTTGGCTGTCAAACAACTTATTTGTAACAGTCTTACCTGCAAAAATCAGATGGAAAGACATAAAGGGTTTCCTCTTTGGTTATTAATGGATGAAAAGAATCTCCATCTGTTCCATTAATCATATTACACTTCTCTGTTGTCCACCAGTCAAGTGACCTGCAATTAATAAGCACAAGAAAGGATGAAGATGATTAAATTTGCTTTTAGAGTTTCTTAAACAGTCAGGACATTTCAAGACTTAACTTGGAGCTGGCTACCCACAGTATGTAATTCATATGTAGACTCAAGGGTGGTCTTGGTTAGGGATCAGATCAAAGAGGAGAAAAAGTAAGCTCCCGATTCCCAAATAAATTTTGATAGGGGCAATAACCAAAAATTTCTCTTTCTTTCCTCAAAAAAAGTGTAGCCTATATAGAGGGTTAAGGAGTCCCTGGGTGGTGCAAATGGTTAAGTGCTCAACCACTAGCTGAATCCACCAACCGGCACCTGGGAAGACAGGCCTGGTGATCTGCTTCGGAAAGGTCACAGTCTTGAAAACCTTACTGAGTAGTTCCACACTGCATACCTGGGGTCACCATGAGTTGGCATCTACGCAACAGCAACTAACAACAACAACATAAGGGATTAGAAATACAAATTTACTTAAAGCAGCAATCCCTTCAGCGTTAATAATAGCCTTGCTCATGGCCAACCCACAGACAGATGAACTCTGGACAAATATATCTACCTCTTTAGTATTCACAATCCAGTGTTAATGCTGTCTCCCCTAGGAAGAGTTCTCTGTTCTAAACACAACAGAGGACTGCTCTCGAATCTCAAGAAAGCTCAATATTAAGTTGATTTCATTAAAAGCACAGCTGAAATAGTGGATGTTTTTTATTGTGCTTTAAGTGAATGTTTACTGTTCAAGTCAGTCTCTTACACACAGTCATGTGAGCCTGGCTGCTCTCCATATAATGTGACAGCATACTCCTTTCCACCTCAGATTTCCCGTGTCCATTCAACCAGTTCCTTCTCCTCTCGCCTCCGGACAGAGCTGTCCATTTAGTCTCATGCATCTACTTGAGCTAAGAAGCACTCTCTTCACAAGAATCATTTTATGTCTTATAGTCCAGTCCAATCCCTGTCTGAAGAGTTGGCTTCAGGAAAGCTTTCCGTTCTGGGCTAAAGAGAGTGGGGGCCATGTCTTCCGGGGTCCCCCCAGTCTCAGTCACACCATTAAGTCTGGTCTTTTTACTAGAATTTGAGTTCTTCACCCCACTTTTCTCCTGCTCCATCAGGGACTCTCTGTTGTGTTCCCTGTCAAGGCAGTCATTGGTGGTAACCGGGCACCATCTTGTTCTTCTGGTCTCAGGCTGAGGGAGTCTCTGGTTTATGTGGCCCTTTCTGTCTCTTGGGCTAATATTTTCCTTGTGTCTTTGGTGTTCTTCATTCTTCTTTGCTCCAGGTGGTTTGGGACCAATTAATGCATCTTAGATGGCCACTCACTAGCTTTTAAGACCCTAGACACCACTCACCAAAATGGAATGCAGAACATTTTCTTAATAAACTTTGTTATGCCAACTGACCTAGATGTCCCCTGGAACCATGATCCCCAGACCCCTGCCCCTGTGACTCTGTCCTTTCAAGTGTTTGGTTCTATTCAGGAAACTTCTTAGCTTTTGGTTTAGTCCAGTTGTGCTCACTTCCCCTGTATTGTGTGTTGTCCTTCCCTTCACCTAACATAATCTTATCTACTATCTAGTTAGTGAATACCTCTCTCCCTCCCTCCCCACCCTCGTAACCATCAAATAATGTTTTCTTCTGTGTTTAAACCTTTTTCCTGAGTTTTTATAATAATGGTCTTATACAGTATTTGTCCTTTTGCAACTAATTTCACTCAGCATAATGCCTTCCAGATTCATCCATGTTATGAGATGTTTCACAGATTTATCGTTGTTCTTTACCATTGTATAGTATTCCATTGTGTGAATATACCATAATTTGTTAATCCATTTGTCCGTTGATGGGCATCTAGGTTGTTTCCATCTTTTTGCTATTGTGAACAGTGCTGCAGTGAACATGGGTGTACATGTATCTATTCATGTGATGGCTCTTATTTCTCTAGGATATATTCTAAAGAGTGGGACTGCTGGATCGTATGGTACTTCTATTTCTAGCTTTTTAAGGAAGCACCAAATTGATTTCCAAAGTGGTTGTACCATTTTACATTCCCACCAGCAGTGGATAAGTGTTCCAGTCTCTCTACAACCTCTCCAACATTTATTATTTTCTGTTTTTTGGATTAATGCTAGCTTTGTTAGGGTGAGATGGTATCTCATTGTAGTTTCTTTTTTTAAAATTTTTTTATTGTACTTTAGGTGAAGGTTTACAGAACAAATAGTTTCTCATTAAACAGTCACTACACATTTTCTTTTGTGACATTGGTTGACAACCCCACGACACGTCAACACTCTCCCTTCTTGACCTTGGAGGACCTTTTTTTTTTTTTGGTGAAAATATACATAGCCGAAGTTACACCATTTCAAAAATTTCTACATGTACAATTCAGTGACATCAATTACATTCTTCCAGTTATGCTACTATTCTCACTATCCTTTTCCAAATTATTCCATCACCATTATCTTCAACTCACTGCCCCCTAGGCTTTTCCATCAAACCTTTTGGTTGCTGTTGTCATTTGATTTCACATAGATAATTCTTTTTTTTTTTTTT